TGGTAAAAAGCTCTAAGAGCAAACCTGAAGCCGCTGTATTTGTTTCCTTGTCTTGGTCTTCAAATTCTAGGGCTGTTTTGATAAAAATACCAAGAGTGAAAAATACATTTAAGACTTAAATAATTGTCGACATACCCTGGGAACCAGAGGCTGGATTTACTCGTTCTTGTAGTTTAGAGGAAATCCAGCCTCTGGTTCCCAGGGTATTGTCGACATGAAATTTCAAGACAAAAAATGATAAAAAACCTACATGAAGAATTAGCTGTAATTGGATTTTCAGATTCGACAGTTTCATCTGTTTGCCTGAGAAGACCTTTAGATTCTGTGTTTTGAGAGTGTATATTAAAACTTAATTAAAAGGTGGGTAGGGGAGGGGTAGGGGAGCAGCTGGGTGTCCCCTAAAATACAGACGTTAATATACCTTCCCCGGGGGGGTACTCTCATATATTTGCTATACGGGGACGTGCCGCTGGCCAGGGTATGGTGTTTGGCCTTGCTGTCTTAAACAGGGTATACATTTCACCCGAAATTGTCTTAAACAGGCTCTACAATTTAGATAAAAGACCGATATAATTTTTTGTGTGTAATATTTTCATAAGAAATACCGTAGAAATATCGTTTCACTGTCCCAGGATTAACGTGTTATCAAAAATTTCTTATTGTCTTTGATGGATTTCAGTATAATTGCACTTTTGATGGTTGCGGCGCAGATAGCTATTCCTTATTTTCCGATTTGTCTTGAACAGGGTATGGACTTTCACTTTTTAGTAAACAGGGTCAGGGATTTAGACCGCTGGCGCCACATACCTCCCCCCCGGGATACCTTTTCTACATCTCTACAAAATAAATACTTTGTGTAAATTGTACAAAAATTGTATTTACCCAAATCAAATGTGTTCTCCTTAAAGAAAACTGGATACAGACTTCCATCCGTTTTGACGTCAAGTATACCAACAACTTGATTTCGTGCGGGTTCGCAGTTGGTTACGATTAGTGGTGCCCCAACTGCCCTACTTAAATCGAAGTTACGACTGACTTTTAAACCTGTTTTAGGACTACTGACTAGTTGGTATTCTTCGGGGCTACGAGAGATTTTTTTGAATTTCAGCTCGAGAAGTTTTTCTTCGTCGAAGACATACGCGGAAATCTTATCTGGCAAATTGCTGTAGAAGCCAAAGCTGAGATAATTCTTATTCTCATTTCCACTACACTTGATAAAACTAACACTACCATTTTGGCCACTATTGGAATGCACTTCAGATGTTATTAATGGTTGTTCCCCTTCCTTCTTTGAAGGAATGCAACGTCGGGCAAAAATCCGTTTTGGACTATTCTTGAACGTGTCGCTGGTTGAAACCCAAACAAATAGACCTTTCGTGTCTTCCGTGGTCTTCATTCTGAAGCACATCCCCAAACATCTTGAAAAACCGAATGCCTGCTCCTCTTGAACGGTGTAAAATGCCTTTTTATCTTGGTCTGTGAATATCTTACCGGCAGACGCCATACTTTTTCCTGTACAACCTCGTGTT